GAGAGAGAGAGAGAGAGAGAGAGAGAGAGAGAGAGAGAGATGAAACGGTTTTCACCTTTGCAGTGACAGATGCAGATCCCAGGGTTCGATCCCTAGACCTCACCTCACCCGTGTACAGTACCCCTGTGTGTTTGAACCCTTGACCTGCATTTTAGGAGTCAGTTGTTGTCTGTCGTAGGTCGATGTAGCTGTGGGGTCTTGAACCGTAGGTCTGTCGAGTAGGGGTCATAGTTGTGTAGAGGCCGTAGCTGTAGCAATTCTGAAAGGTCAAGGTCGTAGCTGCTACAGTCCTGAAAGGTCAAGGTTGCAGCTGCTACAGTTCCGAAAGGCCAAGTCCGCAGGCTTCCGGAAGGTCTGGAAGTGGCCTTTCGAATGTTGCTCACAGCAGACCAGAGGCAAGTGGGCAAGTGGTGAGTCCAACCTTGCTTAGTCAGCGGTACCCAGTCCCAGTCTCGCTTAGTCCAGTCAGCAAGTACCATGTGGGATTGTGTGCACCAGGGGCCCGGTGGAAAGGGGCAGACCAGTGACTTACAGAAGTATAAATCAAGAGGCAGCGTTCAGCCATTCATTCATTCCTGCGTGAGCCATGCGGAAGTGCTGCCCAGGCGACTTGTGCGAGGTGATCTGCAGATGCCCGAAGTCGAAGTGGGCTGAAGGGAGATAGAGCGTCCATAGCCAGTAGTGGTTAGGCGGCCATAGCCGCTATAGCTTAGAGATAGGGTTCAGTGTGTGTGTACAATACAGAGTTTGTGTGCATGGGATATTCAGGGTGATCCTAAGTTGAGCATGTGTGGATGGGTTGTGGACACAGTGTTGGATGTGAGAAGTGGAGGCGCTCAGGCGCCATAGCCAGTTTGCAGTGAGTTTGTACCCGAACTGTGTTCTCGGTTTNGGGTTGTGGACACAGTGTTGGATGTGAGAAGTGGAGGCGCTCAGGCGCCATAGCCAGTTTGCAGTGAGTTTGTACCCGAACTGTGTTCTCGGTTTTCATATCTCTGAGTTTTGTGTGGGCGCTTGGCGCCAGTTTGGAATTCTATCTGTTTGCATGCACGCGAGTTGAAGAAGAAAAGCGAGTCTGATTGCATTGGTATCGGAGCAGGTTTCCGTTATTCCATGCACCATCGCCGTTGTCGATAGGAAGGAGTTGGGCACCATAGCAGAAGTGCGCCATCGGAGAAAAAGGGTTCGTCGTAGTCACGCTGTTGAAGGAAGGTGCTGCATACCTGCAAGGAGGACAACGACGAAGAGAAAGAGAGAGAGAGAGAGAGAGAGAGAGAGAGAGAGAGAGAGAGAGAGAGAGAGAGAGAGAGAGAGAGAGAGAGAGAGAAAAGAGAGAGAGAGAGAGAGAGAGAGAGAGGAACGATATAAGATTGGTTGTGCGGTCCAAGACAGGAGGTGGCGGTCATCACCGCCGAAGCTCGGACACAGGGTTATCAAGGAGAAAGAAGACGAAGTAGAGGAGGAGGGAGAGACGAAGGAGCGAGAAGCCATAGCTGAGGAAGAAGAAGGAAGAGACGAAGGAGGAAAAAAGAAAGACATAGCCGTGGTGAAGGAAGAAGAAAGTGAGAAAGAAGGAAGGAGGGAGAAGGAGAATATTGGAGGTTGGAGAGAAAGAAAATGGGCGGCAGCCATAGCCGGGTTAAGCCTTGACTAAGGCGTTGACCAGGAGTTGACAGGGGATTGACTGAAGCGTTGACCGAGGAGTTGACCAAGGTTGATTGAGGCAATTGACCAGGGGGTTGACCGAGGTTTTGACATAGGGGTTGACCAGCGTTGACCAACGTGTTGACCAGGAAGTTGACAAGTGTTGACAAGCGTTGACCAGCATTGACCAGCGTTGACCAGCGTTGACTGGAGCTGCTGACCAAAAATTTTACCAAGCTGGAGTTGGTATATTCTCGCCAAGCCTTCAGCCTATCCCTTTGCCCTGTGGATGTGCACTCACCCCATAGTACTTGCCGAGTCTGTCTGTCTCTTCTTTCTGCATTGAGTCTCTTCTGTCCTGGTGATAAGAACTTTGTGTATGAGGTCATAGAGCTGTGTTGACCAAACACACACGGGCTGAGTAGAGCTAAAGGTCGTGTCTGACGACTGACTGACCCGGAGGACAAACCCTCCAAAGGACCGGTACAGACCGTCGGGCTGCTCTGTGTGGCAAGGTAGGCCCAAAATCTGAGTTGTGGGCTGCACAACCAGCTGTCTAAGTCTTGAGAGGACTTGCTGATTGCGTCGTCCTGTCTGCGACGTTAAACAATTCCTGAGGAGTTACGGGGGATCTCCTTAAATGCCGCCTGATCAGCGTTGAAGTCCTGTAGTGACAACTGTAGTATTAGGTCTAGGCTAGAGACCATAGTTGACAGGGTCCTCTACGGATCCTGTAGTCCTTAGAGAGTCAGTCAGACAGTCAGTGGGTAGGTCCAAGTGGTGAGGAGTGGGACAGTCACTGTCGTGCACCCAACACCATGGACGATCACCCTATGTACGGCTTGCTCGTGGGGTTCTCCCTCTGGGGAACCATCTGGCGATTCCTGTTCCCGCTAGGATTCTGGAACACTTTTACGTGTAGAGTGGAGACAAGGGGTGGAACTGGGACCACTCCTTATACAAAGGAGCAGGAAGAAGAGTCCATCAAGATTCTGGCCGAGCAAAAGGCCAGGAAGGAGAAGAGGGAAGTTGTGAAGCAGGCCAGTTGGCCTTGTTGGAGGATCAACCCGAGAAGGAGAAAAAAATGGAGGAAGAGTTGGAAAGGTTGAAGGAGGAGCAAGAAAAATTGAAAGCAGTGGAAGCAGCAACATCAGCAGCAGCAGCAGCAGCAGCAGAAGAAGAAGAAGAAGAAGAAGAAGGAGAAGAGAAAAATATAGAAGAGGAAGTCCCTCTGATCAGGAAGATCACAAGAGAGAGAGGGGAGTCCAGTGGCACGAAGCAGGAGGACCCATGGTTGGAAAAGAAAGTGTCTGAGTGGGTTGCTAATCTGTCCTTGGAGAGGACGAGGAGGCGATGATGTATGTATCGAGGGCAGAGCAGGAAGGGGTAGTAAAAAATGGGAAGCAGAAGAGGACCCCTTAAAACGTCAGACCATAGAAGAGGAGAAGAAGTTAGAGTGGACGTTGCAGCTGACCAGGGAGAAGAAGAAACGAATGGAAGAGGCCAGCAAGGTGGCAAAAGAGTTGGAGGTCGTGAAGGAGCAAAGAGCACAAATGGAGGCGCATCCTGATGTTATGGGGAAGATTGAAGTGATGGTGTGCAACATAGAACTTCTGGTGAGGGCTGAGGAAGAGCAGTATCAGTTCGCCAGAAGCCAGGATGTAACTCTGCGGTCCATACGTCTAGGCTTCGGGGAGTTTGCACGTGAGATGATGATGCATGTGGACACGGAAGTAAAGGCGAGGATGGAGAGCACAAAACGATTCTGCACGGGCATCATAGAGGGCGCCAAGTTAGCAGCTCCCAGGGAGGAGGAGGCACGTCACCGCAGGGACCAAGTCAAGGTCAAGTTTCCTGATCCCTATAGTGGGATCACTTCGTATGTTCACCTCCAGAAGATCGTGCCTCAGGAGCAAGTCCTAATTGCATTCCATGCCCTTAGGGATGAGGCAGCAAGCTTCGCCTGATTTCTTGCCCGTGCTGCTGATTGCGAGAATGACATGGTAACTTACTCCGCAAAAACCTTCCTGAGCGCATTCCTTAAGTTGTTGCGCGAGAGATTTGTTGATGTCACTAGAGGGATTAGGGCCTCCGACAAGCTTCAGACCATCCACTCACGCCGGTGGAAGAGTGTCAGGGCACTCAACGGAGTAATGGATGAATTGGTAGCTGTCCCTGACCCTGGGGTCACTGAGACCCAACTGGTCAACCTATTCTATCGTGCCATGCTCGAGCCGTCACACGTGGTTAACCAGGGATGTTATTTTCGACGAATTTTGCACCGAAAACCGTCTCTTTGAGCCGTTGCGCGAGCACTTCTTCGAGAAGAGCAAGGAGCTGACCATGACCTACGACATCTTGAGTAGGGAAGTGGTGGCTTTCGAGGCACAATCCATGCCAATTTCCACTTTTTGGCATAAGGACCTTGACAAGTGCAAACAATGGAAGGGCCATACCATCTCTGGTCAAGTTAGGGCCAAGGATCATTTGATCCTTACTTTAGACGAAGGTGGTATGGAACAGGTCCCTTATAGCCAGATAGAGTGGGGCCTGGAGGAGGATGACAATGGCGATAGTTAGGGGAGGACTTACGCTGTTGTCGAGGCTGAAGGGAGGCCGCAAGGAGGAGGAGGAGGTCGGGGCCAAGGGGGCCAAGCCTCCGGTGGTCGAGGACAGAGTGATCAGGGTGTTGGCGGCAGAGGAAACCGCCAAGTGGGAGGCAGGGATCAAGGTCCCCCGCAAAACCGCTCTCGTTTTACTCGGTCACCTCCCAGGAGGGGTGGATGGCACCCTGGCTTGCCACAAGGCAGACCCTGGGAAGATCTGGGCTTAGATCAAATAGTTTGGCAAAAGAGGATAGACCAGGATCAGTGCATCTATTGCGGTGATCTGGGGCACATCATTAAATATTGCCCTAAATACAGAGAGGCCCGGTATGCTGCACAGGCAACAAAAGGCAACCGCCGGTAGGGGTTGCAACTGCCCTTACCTCTAGACCATGTGGAGAAGAGTGCGCGCACCACAAAGAAACTCCCAACCCACATGTGTCTATGGCAGAGGTTGCTGGCCAGTGCCTAGAAAGTTGTCCAGAGACTGCTTGTGTTAGTGTCTCGTTAGGCACTTCCCTCACAGGCCTGGCAAAGGAGCTAAAGGAGAGAATGTCGGTCTGGGCCAAGATGAAGAAAAACAATAAAGGATAGCTAGTTTTAGTAGATGCAGAGATCTTTAGAGGCAGAGTAGGGGCCCTTATAGACAATGGGGCCACCCACAACTATATTAGTAGGAAAGCGTTGCAGACGCTGAAGTTAAATTTGAAGGTCCAGAAGCTAGAAGACCCTATAATCAGTATCCTCGCAGACAACCACACTATGCGAGTCGAGGATTATGTAGAGGGAGTCCAGGCGTACTTTCGCTTAGAGAAGGATGGGAAGGTAGAGAGAGTTCTCCATTCCCTGACTCTCTTCGTAGAAAACAACCTTCCGTTTGACATAGTCCTAGGAATGGACTGGGGAGAGGCAACAGGAGCCACACTTCACTTGAGAGAGCATGAGTGTAGGCTCCCGAGTCCCTCAGGTAAAGTTAAGACTGCTCGCCTATTTCATGTGTTAGGAGTAGACAACTCCCTGGCACATTGCTGTCTCAGTGCTCCCGCGTTTGCGCGATTAGTGAAGAAGGAGCAACTAGAAGAACAAGTTTTTGTAGCCTATGTTAGGCCTGTCACTGAACCTACAGAAGAGAAACCCATTGAGCCAGCTATTGCCAAGCTGCTGGAAGAGTATACAGATTTAGCTAAGTTGCCTACAGGAGTAGAGCAGCGGCCCATCCAACATCGTATTGAGATAGAGCCAGGCAGTAGAACTCCTAAGGGAGCTATCTACAGAATGTCCCTAAGGGAGCTAGAGGAGTTGTGCAAGCAGTTAGATGAGCTCCTCCAGAAGGGTTGGATTAGGCCCAATTCGTCTCCGTTTGGAGCACCTGTTCTTTTTGTCCCCAAGAAGGAAGGAGAGCTTAGAATGTGTATTGACTATAGGGGTCTCAATGCCGTCACAGTGAAGAATGTCGAACTATTGCCCTGTATAGATGATCTGTTAGATCGGGTGCAAGGCTGTAAGTACTTCTCAAAGACAGATTTGAAGTTTGGTTATCATCAGATAGAGGTACATCCTGATGACCAGTACAAAACGACATTCAGAATCAGATATGGGCATTATGAGTTTATAGTGATGCCCTTTGGACTAACCAATGCGCCAACTACATTTCAATGTTGTATGAATGATTTGTTTAGGCCATGGTTAGATAGATTCGTGGTAGTATACCTAGATGATATCTTAGTCTTTAGTAAGACCATCCAGGAGCATGAAGGCATCTGAGGCGGGTCTTGGAGAAGTTGAGAGAAGCTAACATCAAGATCAACATAAAGAAGTGCGAGTGGGCCAAGACACAAGTCTTGTACTTGGGCCACGTCTGAGATGGAGATGGCATAACGCCTGAGGACAGTAAGATAGCAGAGATCAGAGATTGGCCAATGCCCCACACATTAACAGAGTTGCGGTCATTCTTAGGCCTAACCAATTACTATAGGAAGTTTGTGAGGAACTTTTTGACCATCGCTGCACCCCTGCGCAGGTTACTAAGGAAAGAAGCAATCTAGGAATGGGATAGAGATTGTACCTCGACCCTGAAGAAGCTAAAGAGGGACTTGATAGAGTACCCGGTCCTCAAGGTAGCCGATCTATCATTACCTTTTGTTGTCACCACTGACGCAAGTCAGTATGGTATAGGCGTTGTTTTACAGCAAGATGATGGCAATGGGTATAGACCCATAGAGTTCATGTCTGCTAGGATGCCTTCAGAGAAGGTAGCGACATCTACCTACGAGAGAGAAATCTACACTCTCAGGCAAACATTAGATAACTGGAAGCACTACTTGCTTGGGAGGCACTTCAAAGTCTATTCAAACCACAAGATGTTGAGGTGGCTGAAGAAGCAGGCCAAGATGACACCTAAGCTTACTAGGTGGGCTGCAGAGATAGATGAGTTTGACTTTGAGCTCAAGCCAGTCAAAGGAAAGTATAACGTAGTTGCGGATGCTCTAAGTAGGAGGGCTGATTACTTTGGAGCGATAATTCATTATCTGGATATATGGAGAGACCTGCAACAAAAAGTCAAGAGGCATATGCGCAGGACCCCATTTACAGTGACCTCCTCAAGAGGGTTGAGGCCCCGGAAACTGAACCAGATTACCGCACTACTGATGGGTTGTTATTCGAGAAGACTAATGTAGTTGGTCGTCTGTGTGTTCCCAACAGCGAGGAAATCCGTAGTTTGATCCTACGGGAATGTCACGACACAGAGGGACATTTCAGTTGGCAGAAGACATTAGCGAACCTTACGCGCGTATCCGTGGCCTGGTATGAAGGCCGACAACATAGAGTATGTACGCAGTTGCAAGGTATGCTAACGGAACAAGACAACTACGCAAGCCCCTCTTGGTCTTCTCAGACCACTGCCTATTCCCGCAGGACCAGAGATTCTGTATCCATTGACTTTATGGATGTTGGAGTCAGGGGTAGACATGGCAAGAGCCAAGTCATGGTTATAGTCGATAGATTTAGCAAGTATGCAATTTTTGTTCCCTTGCCTTCAGAGGCACGTACAAACTTAGTAATAGGGAAGTTTTTTTATCATTGGGTCAGTGAACATGGTATGCCGCTGTCTAAGTTAGTGACAGAGATACCAGGTTCACTAGTCAGAACTGGCAGGAGTTGATGAGAGTTTATGGATCTAAGTTGTTGATGTCATCTGCCGTCATCCGAAGACTAACGATCAGACTGAGAAGATCAACAAAATGCTGCATCAAGTTCTCTGAATGTATATTAGACCTGATCAAGTTAGCTGGGACGAGATGCTCCCAAAGGTAGCCAGTGCGCACGACAACAGTGTACACTTAGCCACTTGTCGCACTCCCAACGAATTGCATAAGTCCTTTAGACCGCGCAAACCATTTGAAGGACAGAACCGGGATCAGATCCAGAGGCTACCGCCTGGTACGAGGGAGTTCACAATACAACATGAGAAAGAGATAGCAAGTGTTGTAGAGAACCTCAGGAGGGCCCAGCACAAGATGATAGAGCAAGCCAATAAGCATCGTCGACCGTCACAGTTCCAAGTAGGCGACTTAGTCTGGGTCAAGTCAAAGGAGTTTGCTCCTTAGGAAAACATCTCGCTGAAGTTATTGCCTGCATACCGAGGACCGTGGCCAGTCTTAGAAGTTAAGGGTGGAGAGGATGGACCGTCCTACACAGTCGAGATTCCAGCACACCTCCACACCTACCCAATTTTCATGCGTCGAAGTTGTTGCAGTGTACCACAAATCAACAGTTTCTATCACAGAGGTCCATGATCCCTCCGGACATGGATGGAAGGTACGCCATTGACAGCATCATAGGTGAAGATGTCTTCAGAACAGGAGGTAGAGTTCGTCCACCGAAACAGTATAAAGCCAGATTCTCTTTTCAAGAACCAGAGAACGACCGCTGGTTTACATGAACAAAACTTCTTGAGACCAATCCCGATGTAGTTTGAGCCTATGACAAAGGTAAGAAAGGTAAAGGTCCAACCTTGGACTGAACTATTCTCGGAGGATCTCTAATTTAGGCCGGCGGGAGTGAAACGGTTTTCACCTTTGCAGTGACAGATGCAGATCCCAGGGTTCGATCCCTAGACCTCACCTCACCTGTGTACAGTACCCCTGTGTGTTTGAACCCGTGACCTGCATTTTAGGAGTCGGTTGTTGTCTGTCGTACGTCAATGTAGTTGTGGGGTCTTGAACCGTAGGTCTGTCGAGTAGGGGTCATAGTTGTGTAGAGGCCATAGCTGTAGCAATTCTGAAAGGTCAAGGTCGTAGCTGCTACAGCCCTGAAAGGTCAAGGTCATAGCTGCTACAGTTCCGAAAGGCCAAGTCCGCAGGCTTCCGGAAGGTCCGGAAGTGGCCTTTCGAACGTTGCTCACAGCAGACCAGAGGCAAGTGGGCAAGTGGTGAGTC